AAATTGTTTAACATTAAAATAGTTTGCTCGAGTTCTGAGAATCATTGTGGAGAAGGTATGGAATGTAAAAACATCCAAGTCAAAGGCTCGTCATACACAGAATGCGTTTGCATGGATGATGAGTACAGGACTAAAAAGGGGACTTGTGAAAGTTTGTCGTGTTCATTCGATCAATCATCCATTAATCCAATCAATTTTTTAGTCAACTACAAATTTTATAAAGCTCCATTTTTGTGATGACCAACAGAGCTCTCAATAGGTTTCATAGGTCAATTTCCCTCTAATTATTATTGAAACGTAGTCTTTCATGAAATATTATTTTCATCAAAATAAGTTTTAAATTCTTGAGTGGCATAAAACGAGATAATGCCTTAGTGTTTTTCGTTTCACTCACTGAATGAATTAGTTATTTTTAAAATATTGTGTAAACCTGGCAAAATTTTTTGTATAAGTATTTTCAGGCTACGAAAACTTGCTTGAATGGATAAATTTTTAAATACAAAAATATTTGATTTCTACCTATTGTTCTAATATAGTCGCTTTCATATTGGTCAATATGAAAGTTGGTTGAGATTGATTTCGAATTAAGTAAGGGAGGATGTACCTTGTGCCAACAAAGTTCCATAAATGATGTGAAATATACAGCAAGCGTTTGTATAAAGAACGTTTTTTAAATTCTAAAATTTAAATATTTGAAACTATTTTTAGCTCTCTTTATATGGCTCAATATATATATAACTCACTGATACGGTGGAATCGACTTTCATGTTTAGTATCGAGCATTGAAGGTTATCATTTGATATTACAACAATTATAAAATGTTTTACAAAAAGTTTTTCATAACATTGGAGTACAGAGCATATCTCAGCTTGTTGACGATATATGACTTTAATATTTTGCTAATAATCTCAGAGTGTTTTCTACAAAAACGTATAAAAGTTTCGTGCATCTGTGATTATAGAGCCAAATAGCGTGAGGTCGAAAGTTAATCAAGAATTAAACTGAACAAGGATCATTGTAGTTACCTAACAAAAAATTGATTTTTCGAGATATAATGTAAGAAATTTAACTGTAACAATATATATAATTTTAATGATCAAATATGAAGAATTTAAAAATAACAAAATGTAAAACTTATTTCTAAACATAAGTATACAAAAAAATTGCAGGATTGAATTACAAAAGAAATCTTGCTTTCAAAAAATTAGTATTATCAACTGATTTACTTACCGTTGACTACGGAGATTTCAGTAAGGAACAATTGGTTGACGGGCAGATATTGGGCGAGGGTATGATTCATTTGTCTAGTAATCCCGGAAATGAAGAAGAATGGATTATTGTTGACTTGGAGGATGTGTACGAAGTTGGATACGTTGAATTGTACAATAGGTGGAATTATAAATTCTGTTAGTTTAAATATGATGTTTCACATATTTATAGAAATCTCTAGTAAAAGTTTTAAATAAATATAATTCGTGAAGTCTAAAATGCCATCAAAATTTCAACTCGCACAACTTGTTATAAAATTTTATATAGAAGTCTTTGCTGGCGAAACATGTTATTTCATGCAACACTTGTTACAAGCACAGAAAATTATTAGAAATAATCCCTTCCGTTCTCATTTAAAAGAATTTTTCGCTACATTAGTTATTAATTGATTTTTAGATATTATTTTCAACTAAAATAAACTTCACAAGAAACACTAAGATAGATGTTTCATAGTTGAGCACCACTCCACACCTGTGTTTAATACCTATAGATAACAAAACATGGAGATTGAAAATATGCTTTAAATTTGTTTTTAATAAAATGAAATTTTATTGTCAAATACGATAGAATAACTCTAACAAGTTTAAATTTTAAAATGATTCTAAATAGAATTCTATTTATTTAGTTTATTGACTTTTTGAAGGTCATAATAGTTTATAGATTAAAAAATCACGGGTTTTGTTTACTGAACACATATTTTAGAAAGAGGTTGGAAAATCTTATAACATACAAAAGTGGAACATCAGCCACGCAAATTGATTTTTTCTCTGTCAAGCAAAAACACCAAAGGCTATTTAAAAACGTCAAAGTTATACCTGGCGAATCATGTGTCGCCCAACATAGACTTCTTGTGGCAGACCTGGTTGTCGAATTGTCAAAACGTAAGTCTAAACAAATGTCTCAGAAAATCAGAACGTGGAAGCTGAAAAAATATTCATTGAGAAAAATTTCAACAGATTGTGGCCACACAGTTAGACCACCAATCGAAAGCCAGTACAGATTGGAGTACATACAAAACCGTTTTGATAAACGCTGCAACTACAGTTTGTGGGAAAACTGGTACAAAACGTCAGCATGAATGTGACACTTGGTGGTGGAAAGACAGTGTACAAAATGCAATAGCTGAAAAGAAAGCTGCATGCAAGCAATGGCAAAAATCAAAGTCTGTTGATGACCATAAAATTTTCCGTGAGAAGAACAACTATGCAAGACGTCAAGTCGAACTGGCTCGGACAGATCAGTGCAGAGAGTGGCTCATGCTGATGATATCGTTTTAACAGCCACGTCTGAGCAGAATGCAGCACAGATGTTTGAAGATTGGAACACCAGACTCGCCGATCATGGATTCAAAGTCAACATCAGCAAAACCAAAGCAATGAACACTGGTGAACCCATCCAATGTATAGCTACTGGACGATGGCCCTGTTCAATTTGTAATGCTGGTGTTGGTAACAATTCAATCAAGTGTCAGCAGTGTAACCAGTGAAGTCACAAACGTTGTTCAAAAATAATTGGTACTTTATCTAAAGTGTCCAATTTTGTTTGTCCTGCTTGCATCAATCCACAACAACAAATTCGAAATAGCAATGTTTTTGAAGCCATTATGGTAGAGAAAGTCACATCGTTTCAATATCTAGGAGATGTTCTAGATTGTACTGGAACAGCTGAAGCTGCCGTTCAAGCACGCATACGTGCAGCCTGGAATAAATGGCATCTCCTTGCCTCTATATTGATGCGGTGTGACATCCCACTACCACTACGATCAAGACTTTATAAATCTGTGATACGTCCGGTGTTGTTACATGGTGCAGAAACATGGCCAATGACAAACAAACTGGAAAAACAACTTCAACGAACCGACATGAAAATGCTCCGATGGATGAAACGAATTAGTTTGAAGGACCACATCAAATCTATCGAAATCCTGCGTCGAGCTGGTTTAGATGATATAAAGGACGAATGCCGGCAACAACGTCTGCGGTGGTTTGGTCATGTTAAACGAAGTGGAAACAGTGCCATAACTTTTCTTGCAGATGCTGAAGTACCTGGCACACGTCCCTAAGGCCGTCCAAAGAAGTCCTGGTCTCAAACAATCGAGCAAGACATGAAAGCTCTAAATTTAAATGAAATGGATACAACTGATCGTCTATTTTGGCGCAAAAAGTTGATGGCAAAGAAAACAACGTCCTACCTCGGGGGAACTGGGTCTCTGGACGCAAAACGAAGATTGATTGATTGACTGTAACTAGCTACAATTTTTGAGTAACTAAATTACAGTAACGTATTATGGTAACGGTCTACTTCACAACTCTGCATAGATGTTTATGCATTTTCAATTCTCTATAAGAAAAAATATGATTCATCATAAAAATCTTGTGAAAATATTTTTTTAATAACAACGATATTAATAACATCAAATTAAGTGGACCGTGTAAAAGACCTGAAAGTAGGTCTCAACGAAACACTGGAACTTGCAACAAAATTCAAAATAGGCAGCTACGAATTATGCGGCATAGTTACTGAGATACGTAAAGCTGGTCTTCCGATGAGAGTTACCTGCCAAGGAAAAAAAACTGGTCGTTTTGTCATTTTACAACCAAGAACAATAAGTTCGGGTCTTGGACTAAAGGAACTTGAAGTCTACGAAGGTGAGTTTGAAGAAAATAATCTTATTTTCACAGAATATTTTTTACGATTTTGTTGTGCATTGTTAAAATTGGCATTTGAAGCTTTCGTCCAAAATAATATTTCTTTTTTGGAATATTTACTCGAATAATGGAATAAGGATCTAAAAATTGGATATAATGTTTTGGCTGTTTCGCACGAACCCCGGATTGTTGAATTTTGTATGGAGTGAGAAAACAAGCTCCATTACCCGATTTTAACATCATTAAGTGAAAAAGTGAAAAATTACTCGAGCAAGGGGGAATTTTCAAAAATGTTAAAAACGTTTAAATGATGACCGGGGGCCAACGTTTGTGGTGATGTGGTAATAATTAAGCTGACGACCTTTTTTTCTTGCTTATATGAATTTGTATATCAACTGTTTCCGATTATATTCACTTTAATTTTATTGTTTATTGCATTTGACAATCTTTAAATTAATGTAAATATATACCAAGCAGAAGATGGCATTCGTCAATCAGTTGACTTCATTGGATGTTTTGAGTTTTACAATGCGACGCTTACTTCCTCGCAATCGAGCCTCATTTCTTGTCAAGATGCTTGTGAAAAATTTGACGATAAGAAATTAGTTTTTGCATTAAAGGTAGTTGCCAAAATAATTTACTTATTAGAAACATTTGCTGTACAATGTTTTTGAAGTTTAAAATCTTCTTTTTGCTGCTCATACAAACTTGTACAATCATTTAAATGTATTAATCTCTTTTTCATTTTTTCATATTTTGCCATTTTGTTTAATTGTAATCGTTTTAAACTTTTTTTCTGACCGGGCAAGTGGTCTGTGTGGTCCTCTTGTCAGTTGCGTAATAAATAAATAAAATAAAATAAGTTTTTGGCTACGATGGGAGGCTGGATTTGTTACAAAATGATATAAAAATTGTTTCAACTGATACAAAAATTGAAATAAATTATTCTTTTATGGAAACTGTAACTTTGTATCTTTTTTACGCCTCTGTTAGTATTCGAACGTTTTATTACTCACCAGTGTTGGACTTTTTACGAATAAGTCATACATTTAATTAATGTTTTACGCTATATTTTTCAATTAATCAATTAGCTTGTAGAGTGCTATTTCGCGATGTTCAACAGCGCTCCTCAGTGAATTTTGTAAACAGATGGATCTTGAGATCTGCTCTGAACTTCACAAGTGATGAAGCAGTTAGAGAAAGAAGTAGAGAGTTTTAGAGAAAAGAGCTAGTAAAAGCAAACGCAAATTTAGCAAAATTATTTCAATGGAAAAATTAAAAAATAATCTGATTTTATTATAGAATTATATACCATGTAAAAGTGTTTTGTAATAATTTTGATATCTTTGACAGTTTACATTTTATTCTATCGCTATGTTCACTTTTTTGTAATTTACGGGTTTTTTCCTTATAATAATATTGTTTTCTTTTTTTTCTTTTTTTCCATACATTTTTATTAACGCTAAAATAATTTCAAAAATACATTTTATAAATATGCTATATTAGATTGTCTTAAAAACCAGCACAGTTTATAGTTTTTACATCTTTATTATTTAGTTAAATATTAATTGTGCGTTTTTATCTATGCTATTAACAATTATAGTTTTTAGTTGTTGCGACACGCTTGTGTGCATTGTATTATCGGCTGCTGGGCGTTATTTAGTGATCATTTTTTGTATATGTAATATGTTCATTTTTTAAAGGGTGGCACCTGTTACTGCGGGTTGGATATTGATCTCATGCATGACGGGGATCACCCAGAAGACTGTCAAACACATTTTCCCGTCTATTCTGGTGGGCAACATTTAAAAAAATTTATTGTTCACAGATTTTTCCTATATTACAAAGTTGAAATATGTTCTTTAGAGTTATATTGGATATAAATTCAACATGATATTCCTTATTGATGTTATTTATGTCCATGATAATAGTTTTGTTGCTGAAATACGCCATTTTTAGGCAGGAGGGTATTTTCAGTATCACTGGTGAGATGCTTCAAAGATACTAACTTAGAGGCAATGTCAAATTCACCCATCAACTTGATAAAGGAATTAGCATACGGGTCCTGCTTTTTGTACTGCAAGAAACTTTACGCCAAATATTTTGCTATAAAGGTTGACTCCTACAACGACTTTTTTTTATAGACCTAACACTATTTTTCAGTCATTGTTTTTTTTCTATGTGTTGATGGGTGATGCGTTCTACTACTAACAAACATTCCCACCACATGCACACACATACATTAGCACAACCATACGTTGTTTTTACACATGGTTGTTTACACACGCAACAACAGGACACCAAGTGTTTGTGTGTTTACGCGTCCAACGTGAGTGGGCAGGTTCCAATAAGCGAATGCGGGATAACTTGTTCGGATGACATTAAAAAATCATGTGGTGCCAGCAATCGCTATTCGCTCTACAGTCGTAAGCTCTGTTCTGTTGGAGTTATTAGTTTCAAACAGTTTTGAAGTATTTGTATACCCATTATTGTTGCTATTATTGTTATAATAATTATTATATTGTTAGTAGTAGAAATAGTAACAGCAAGAGCGTCTATGTTGGAGGCAAAAATCTCCCCGTTATTTTAAAATTATTTAGATATTCAATCGAAAGTGTGAAAATTTGATGAAAATTTCATTGGTCGTAGGTCATAAAATTATCACGGGACTCTTTTACATAGTATATGTAACGATAATAAGAAAGTTCCTATATATGTTATTGTGATACATATATGATTGAAAATGATGATTTCAAATCATTTAAAATACTTGGCTCGTTTTCTTGAAAAACTTACTTTAACGGAAAAAGTTTCCAGCCCAGCTTAAAATGGTGGCAATTGCTTCCTCCTCCCTTTTTTTCCAGATGCCTTTGAGTATTTTTAGTAGTAGTAGTAGTAACAGTATTATTATTAGTAGTAGTAGTAGTAAAAGTAGCAGTAGTAGAAGTAAATGCCGAAATTCTTTTATTAACTTTTTTCTTAATTTTAAGTTTATGGCAGGTTTGATTTTCGTGAAAGACCTCAAAATAATTTTTGTATCGACTCGACTGGATGCCGATCCAACGCATGCAAAAGCGGATGGAAAGGAGAACTATGCAATATCCGAGGTACGTTCGTTAATCTCAGTTCGATATATTGAAGTTTTTACATTATGGACTCAATTAAATTCATTTCGCTATGTTTGACCCGACTGTCTGTGATTTTTATATAACGTATGTTCAATTCTACGTCTTCTTTATCTTGATTTCAATAAATTCAAAATTTATGAGATTTTATACACGATCCTAAATGTACTTATTATAAAAACTCAAATGATTTTTACATTGAGTTAAGTAACGTTGACTTTAATTCAAACTGCTTTGAAACCCTTCAGTTTTTTGTTTCGTTTTAATACTGAACATTTTTTATATTTAAATCTATCTTGATTGGAACAGATTGTAAAGTAAACAATGGTGATTGTGGTTACAATCTTTGTGTAAAAATAGAATATTCTGATCGTAAAACTTTAACTAAGTGTAGAATTCCAGACGGATTCAAAGAGTCTAAAAAATGGGGATATCTTCCAAGTGTGTTTTCATAGACTTCAATATTTATATAGAAACCAAAATGTTTGATTTAAATTACATCTAAAATTAAAATTTAAAAATACATGTAAAATTTGTATTGTTTGTGCGTTTTGTTTGGATTGCCAAACCAACAATTTTTCAATTCGAAGTTGGGACAGGTGTCATGTATCTTGGATGTTACTGGAGTGTTGTCATTGAGAAGACCACGCCTGTTCAATCCTATACAGATTGCAAGAGCTTCTGTTTGTCCGTGAAGAACATTTTCATGATTGGCTTGCAAGTAGGTTCTTGATGATTTGTAAGTAAGGATAACTAAAATTTGAATGAAAATCTGAAAACGTTGAACGACAGAGAGGTGAGGCATGCCACTGCCTGAGTAGTGCAAAATATCCAGTCAGTTCATCTCATTGTGACAGGAAGTGTCCCAATGATCACGATCGTTGCGGCGGCCTCGAGTTTTTCTCTGTTTTTCAAAGTTATTCACTTTGTTATTTACCGTTGAAATATTTAAAATAAAAAAGAATCAGTTGAATGCAGAATTAAAGCGATGTAAATAAGATTTCGGAATTGTTAAAGTAATGATAAAGATAAATGAGATTAATTTAAATTTCATCAGTTAAAGAAAGATTGGATTTCAGCAAATCTCTGGTAAGCTTAGATGAGTTTGACGTTAGCACTAGCAATCATTCGCAAGTTTCTGTACTAGAGTTAACAATCGACAAATGCATTTCAATATGCTTTGAAAGAAATCTTCCATATGCTACATTGAAGGTTTTTTTGATTATTTATTGCTGTTATTTGTTGAAACATTTTAAATTTAAAAAAATTACATTTACAAGGTTCACACGAACCAGTTCACTGAATTATTCTATTAAATCCTTTAATGGCGGTGACGGGCAACTAAATATTTTTAGTTAAACTATGACTGTTTTCCAAATGGAAATAAGTTGTACAATTGAAAGTTATAGACTAATTTTTGGGAATAGTTGATCAAACTTAAAAAATATAGTTTTAGGAAAAAAATTTTTATTCCTTAAAATTTAAAAGTTGAACTCGACCCAACTATTTCTGATACAGAACGAACCAGGTAACAAACCCCTGTGTTATTGTTCCAAACCATCTGACGACACTGCTGCAATTAAATGTTTGTCGAATTCGGAAGGTTTGTCCAATTGTAATGTTCAATGTCCTGGAAGTGATCATCAGATGTGTTCTGGAATAAATTGCCAGCCAAGAAGAACAAGTATTCTTTTATACATAGATGAATTTTGTTCTTTTTAAATTTTGCTGATTTTATTTTAAATAAAAATAGTAAAAATTGACATGTTTAGTGTGTGCTCTAGAACCTAGTTTCAGCTTAAAAAAAAGTGGATTTGATTTTAAAAGTATTAATAAATACTGTAATTTTTAGTAATTGTAATTTAATTGCAAGTTTTTATGTGAAATTGTACTAAAAGTTTGTAACGTTAATAAATAGCGGTAAGGCACTTTGAATTTCAAACGGCTTACTCACGCCAATCAAGATGCAAAACAATCGATGGGATCAAATGCACAGAGTGCGAGGCTGGCTGGATTGGAGTTTTATGTGAAAAAAGAGGTATTTTATTTTTTCTGGTTTTGAAAATGTTTTTCGGTTTGTACACTCGTATTTTTCAAGCAGGTTTTTCAAGACGCCGTTGTCATTCTTTGTCCCCTACAACCTTTCGCAGCACTCCAGTTTAAATGCTTCCAATCCGTATGTCCCTCTTTCTCAACTGTGCAGGTTTCCGATGAGGATGTGAAAAACAAAAGGGACTTCTAATTTTTCAAATTTTGTTCCAATGGTTTTTCTCAAATTTTCCTTACTTCCATCAACCACTCAAACACTCCTCGTGCAATATCTTCTTTTTTCTTTGCATTTTACCGTGCTTTCTGCTCTAATGATTTTGTTTTAAATTCAATTTTGTCTACTAATTATTCAATTTTGTATTTTTTATTTGTTACAATTAATTATTTCACAAAAGAAAATATTGTTATATTAATTAGATTGTTCAGCCAACTCTGATGTCTGTAGGCCGTTAACCTGTCGCAAAACAGTTGCTCTGGGGATGGAATATTCTGAATGTGTTTGCCAGGAAAACTATTACAAAGAACATTTTTCAAAGTGTTCACGTAAGAAATTTTAATTTTCAATGATTCTGTTCGTTTAATATAATACATTTTTGTAAGAGTTTTTTTTAACAAAGGTATCATAACATTTTATAGTTATCAACAACTCACAAATTTTTACAGCTCTGCCAAAAACAGTAAACTTAGCATTTGGTAAGAAGATAACAGCAGAACCTTTTGATAGAAATGATTTTTCCGCTTCATCTTTAGATGAAGCATATTTAATAACATCAAACTGGGAGTATGCAGTGGATGGAAATATGATGGAGTGGGAGTTTGTAAGTTTGCTTTATTTGAAGAGTTCAGTTAGTTCTTTTAATGGCTGGATGGCAGTTGATCTGGAAGATGAATATCAGATAGTAAAAATCGTTATTTATCCTAGGATTTGCGACCATCAATGCCGAAGTTAACAAACAATTTAATTTTTTTTTACCCTTCTGTGATTTTTTATCGAATTAAATCTAAAATGTTCATTCATTCTGCTTTCATTAAAAAGTTGTAAAAACTTTATAAATATTTTTTAACTTGTTTTAAAGTTTGAAATTACTAATTTAATTTATTTTTATTTTTCTTCATAACTGAAAATTAATTTCGATGTTTGTAAAGGTATTTTGTTAAATAAAGCTCACTAAACTCTAGGAAAAATTGTTGTGCATCTCAACTCGTCAAAGCTGGAATCAGTTGAATGTGGAAAATATCCAATGAGTGTAGGTAATTGCAACAAACACGATACGATCAGCATTAACTGCACCAGGACGGAGCAAAAAAGTAGATTCGTTATCATCCAGAAAGATGTAGAAGAACAAGACAGTGTTTTTGCTTTCAGTGAAGTCGAAGTCTATGGAGCCGGTGCGTTTAAATGGCTTTGTAGTTTCCATCATCTCTTTGTCATTAAACATTTACAAATCTTTATAGTTTTGTTAGTTAATCTTTTTATAATTATATTTCTAGACAAAAAACAGAATCAGTTCGCCTACGTTGGTTGTTTTGAAAAATTTAGAACGTTTAATTCATCTAAGGATGAAAATCTTGGCAACGATGAACAATGTCATAAATATTGTGCAGGATTCAATATAGAAAATTTTATATTTGCAATACACGTAAGTCACTAGTTATTTTTATTTAGATTTTTTCAATTAGAAAATTTGTTGATACTTGAAAATTCAACCTAGAGAGAGAAAGAAAAAAAAAGAGATTGAGAGAGAATGAGAAAGATAGAGAGGAAGAGAGGGGGTGGAGGGGAAAGAAAAAAAAAACAATAAACTAGCAAAAGAAAACGTGTGAATATAACTTTAAAAATCAAGTCTCTCCCGTCAGCACCAACAACGCCGGGGTTCTTCCGACCATTGTTTTTTACCCTCATTTTCACATTTTACATTTTCACTGTTGTCAACAATATTATAGCAGAGACAACTTTGTTTATCAAGACGCAAGCTGTGTTCATTTTTGTGTTTCTGTATCCATTTAAAATCTTGCCGAAAAAACTCATGTTCATTAGTTTTTTAAACTCTTTCCTTATTTTTTACAAATTCGAGACATTGCACGCTACAGTTAATGAAATTTTCCTTATTTCAAAATATATATAGATTTTTCAGGATCTAAAATGCAGTATAAATCTTCATGGCATTACCCAGTTTTCCATAACCGTGCACTTGTCATTGTCAAATTTTGCGGTTACTATTTCTACGCTATAAAACAGATGAGACATAAGATTATAAACGACGATTTCCGTTCATCATTTTGCAGTTCTAATATACACAGAAGAGCTTGCATATTATTCTGAACTTACAACTAAATCTCTGCTAGTTACACAATACGACATGCACACGTATTTTGTGTGCCAGCGCAATCATCGTATCAATCAGTCAATCAATCAATTAACTTGTAAAGCGCTATTTCCGCGATGTTCAACAGCGCTTCTCAGTGAATATTGCAAACAGATGGGTCTCGAGACCCGCTCTGAACTTCGTAAGTGGTGGATAAGTAGTCAGAGAAGTAGGTAGAGAGTTCCAGAGAGAAGGGCGAAAAAAGCAAAAGCAGATTTAGCAAAAGAGTGTTCAACACTAGTTAAGAAAAGCGAGAACAAGAAAACGATCGTAAACCGGGGCGTTTAGGCTCAATTAATATATCTGATAAATACTTAGGGAATAATTTAAATTGAGACTTATACAAAAATGTGCAAATTTTAAAAATTATTCTATATTTTATAGGTAGCCAGTGCAAAAGAACAAGATATGGAGATATTTGATAAAAGAAATATTTTAAACAAATTTTAAAAATTATTCTATATTTTATAGTTAGCCAGTGCAAAAGAACAAGATATGTAGATATTTGATAAAAGAAATGGGCACGGGCAACTAGACGAGCAGCAAAGTTAAAAGCCTTACGTAAAGGATAGAGTATAGAATCAGGAAGACCATAGTAGATCGAGTTACAATAATTAATCCTAGATAAGACTAGCAAAATAAAAAGAAGGCGAGGAGTAGGATCATCAAGAAAAGGCAAAAGATTTTTATTTTAATTTTAGAATCAGATTAGATAATAGGAGGAATAGTAATAGAGTGTTTAGATTTATTAAAACAAACTAATTCAAATTTCGAAGGATTAAGTTTAAGGCACATAGAGTCAGACCATGCAATAATTGAAGAAAGACATAGAGATAGATTATGAAGAACACTATGGAGATTAAATGGAGGAAAAGAAGTATAAATATAAGAATCATCAGCACTAGTGACTAGTGAAAAAAAAGGTTATTAATAATACGAGGTAGTTTAGAGGTATAGAGTATAAATAGAAGAGGGCCAAGGATAGAACCCTGCGGTACCCCGAAAGTACGATTGGAGAAGTTAGAAGTAGAATTATTGAGAACAACAGAAAAAAAAATTACAGAGATAAGAAGAAAACCAAGATAGACTGGAATCAGTAATTTTAAAGAAAAATGTAGCAGCCTAAACAATATCAAAAGCAGAGGAAATGTCAAGAGCAAGATGAAGAGTAAGAGAGAAGGATATCGTTATGTATTTTGAGTAAAAAAGTTTCAGTACTGTGAGCAGGTCTGAAACCAGATAGAGATACAAGTAGCAAGGAGTTAGAGTTTAATTAAGATGACAATTGATTATAAACTACTTTTTCTATTTTTTTAGAGATGAATTTAGTAACAGGTATATAATTAGATAAAGAGGTAGGATCTAAGGATGAGTTTTTAAGAATAGGAATAACAATAGAATTCTTATAAGAAGTAGGAAATTTGGAGTTGGCAAAAAGATAATTAACTAATTTGAGAATGATAGGATAAAATATTGAAGAAAATCTTAGATATCTTAAATATCTTAGAAAGAAGTAGATCTAGAGAACAGGTTGCAGACGACATAGAATTAATGATTTCAATAGGTTCTAGAAAATTTATTGGAGTGAATACAGAAAAAGATTCAGTAGTAAATTTAGTAAAGTTGTGAGAAGAAAAATTAGAATTAGATGTTCTTAAAGAAGTAATTTTATTAACAAAAAAAGTCATGAAACTGTTGAGCAGAAAAAGATGAGTGAGAGGATTTTTTATGAAGAAGTTTAGATAGAACAGACCACCTATTTTTAGATGTTGAAGCAGATGGTATAGAATTTCTAAGAAAAGTAGAGTGTTTAGAGAGTAGTAATTATTTATAATTAATTAATTCAGATTCATAGATAGAATAAAGAGAGTTAGATGGATTTAACCTATAGGCTTTCTCCAGTCTTTTAACACTCGCATTATTTATACATGATGTTGTAGAGTTGTTTGAGTTTCGGACAGCATTTGAACCAGGTCATTGCAACAATAACAGCGCCAGACATGGCACTTTTACTTTCAGAACAAACTCGCCGACTATTTATGTTTCGCAACTCTAGGTAGGCGTCTAGTTTTGTCAGCAATAGATAACCGCAATTTCTTTTGTATATAAGTTCCTACATGTCGTTTGAACCAAATCTATCAAACTCATTTTCAACAATATTCTTCGTTACATTTCTTCCAATCTTTTTGGGCTGCTTTGAACTTCAGCTCTTTTGGTATTATATACAAAATTACAGTCCTAACAATCAAAATCAGAGCGAAGCAATTTTCAGTGCACCCGTGCAATTTCCTATCTCCTCGAGAACCTACCAGACCCCTTCAAGGAATTTCATCAAATTTTTGTATTAGTATTGATAATAATAACTATTATAATAATGATATTATTATTGTAAAAATCATAGTTTTTACTAAATTAAAGCAATTGATTTCAATATGTAAATGTATCTTTTAGAAAGAAAAAATTTGTCACTGCGGGGTAGATGCAGACGTTCAATTGGACGAAACTGTTTGCTTACATTTTTACAGGGTCTTTTCAGGTAACTACCAATCATCAATGTAGAAAAATTAACTTTGTACAACGCACTTGTAAATTATAGCAGAATGTTAACTATATTTTGCAGCATAAATTGTGATAAAATAATCAGAACAGGTCTTCTCATAAAGCACGAAACAAGTTTTTATTAACTATAACTTCACCTTTAATTTAATTAATGAAAATGTTTGTTATTATGTATGTTGAATGTTGAAAACTGCAGCTCTATTGAACAAGCCAAGTTACTTAGGTTGTTTCAGCAGTGACGCAATTGAACCGAGAGCACTGTCGAGATTGGAGGCCGATGTCACAAATTCACCATTCAGATCGTGCTTCCTATATTGCAATGCTTACCAGTTTGAAGAATTTGCTATCAAGGTAGTTAACATTGGTTAACATAGCCTTCATCCAGCATTCATCCGGCCGCATGACATGTAATCATCATCTAACTGCGTATAGATCATTTCCGGCTTTTGCACTGATGACCTTCGAACCTGGTCCGCGCGTAGTAGCAACATGTAATATGGCACTGGAACCATCTTGCATAGTCTGTCCATAGTTGCCAACGCCCCAAATTGGGCGGGAAAGACCCGAATTCTCCCTCCCCCTATGCTTCGCGTCTTGCTTCGGTGTTTGTCACGCTTTTGTGCAACCAAAAACCAGTAATGAAATGTTAAAATAGCAATTTAATAATAAATAGAAAAATTGGACGCGCACGAAAATAAAAGTGCACTGCACACATCAACGCCGATTTCTTTGGTGTATGTATCAAAACACAAATACGTCAATAAAACCCACTGATTCTAACAAAACTCACCAAAGAAAAGTTTCATATGCCGGCGTGTTAAATAATTTAATTGTTTAATTGCGATATCGGTGATGACAAAATAACAAAGGAATACGCCGACTGTTTTTTTTAATCTAACTTTCTTGCGATGTCGATGATGATTGTGACTGTACGAAAAACATCAAAGAACTATGACAACTATATTATATATGATTCAAATGTTGGCACGTGGTTTGCCACGTTATTAAGGTGGTGATATTTAATTTGATCGTGGTAAATGAATAAATTATTGGTTGCACAATAAATTGAATACTTCCTATACATTTCGGCATCTCGTGATTGATAGGAAGGTAAATATTGCGTGTGTGGCGACCGATTATATGCTAGAAATCAGCAAATCGATTCAAGACGTTGTAATATGGCGTGCAAAAACGAGAAGGGGAAAACATGCGGGTCAGACGACACCTTCTCATTGTACAAAAGTAATGGTTTCAACGTTTTTAAACATCAAACTGTTAACAATTTTAATTGAAGTTTCAAATTTGGATCATAATTTATCTTAATCGACGTGAATATTATTTTGACATTATTTATCTTTCTTTTCCGAAAAAAAAAATTATTATTAGAATAAACGTTCGGTTAATTTGCACAGGACGAAACCTGTTCAACCACAGAAACAACCCCGTCAATTATCACTTCTGTATGAATGAAGAAGAGATTTCAAGTGGCTGTCAAGCAGGCCAATGTATGGCTGGATGGACTGGAGAGTTTTGTGACAAGAGAGGTGCTGTTATGAAATATTTCATTTCGTAGAAATAATTATTTAGTGATGTCGTTTTGGAAAGAATTACTTGTTTCTTATGAATAATTCTAGAACTTTAGTATTACTATATGTTTAAGAATCTTAAACAACAACTTTTTAAATAATTAAACAATGTCTCATTTGAAATAGACTGTTCAGAGGACAAGGGAGCATGTGGTCCGAATGCGACTTGTAGATCATTTCATAGGGCCGGATCGGATATAACAGAATGCCAATATCCTGACAACTATGGTTTGAACAAGAATGGCGAACTCCAAGGTAAGGACTTTATGTGTTTCGTCGTAGTTGAAACATTAAAGCATCTTAAGTCTCTTTTTTCTCAGATTAATAGTGTTGCTAGAAGCTCTTACTTTCATCTACGTAGAATAAAAAAACTTTTGCCTTTTCTTGATGATCCTACTCTTCTCCTTCTTGTTACTTCGTTAGTCTTATTTAGGATTGATTATTGTAACTCGCTCTACTATGGTCTTTCTGATTCTAAATTCTATCCTTTAAGTGAAGCTTTTAATTCTGCTGCTCGTCTGGTTGCTCATGCTCCTTTCTTTTCTCATATATCTCCATATTTTTTTCTCTTGCACTGGCTACCTATAAAATATAGAATACTTTTTATAATTTGCACGTTTATGTATAAGTCTCAATCTAAATTATTTCCTAAGTACTTATCAGATATATTAATTGAATCTAAACGCCCCGGTTTACGATCGTTTTCTTGTTCTTGCTTCTTTTTAACTCGTGTTAAATACTCTTTTGCCAAATCTGTTTTGCTTTTTCTGGCCCTTTTTTCTGGAACTTTTTACCTACTTCTCTGACTACTTCTCCATAACTTACGAAGTTCAGATCGGATCTCAAGACCCATCTGTTTTCAAAATTCATTGAGGAGCGCTGTTGAACATCGCGGAAATAGCGCTTTACAAGCTAATTGATTGATTGATTAATTAATTAATTGATTGATTCATTCATTCATTCATTCATTCATTCATTGACTACATTTTACTTTTTTTCATAAAGCTCCAATTTTCTTACCAATATTTTTTTGGAACTAATGTATTGAACATGTAAATAAAAATTTCAACATAATTATCGTTGAAACGTGTTATTTGGTCGGAGCAGTTAAAATAGTCGCACATGAGAAAATCAATTGGTGACCTCGGGCCCGTTGAAGGCGCTAAGTGAATAAAATGTAACCTCTTCAACCAATAAAATAATTGCTTGCCAATTTTTGTTTAAATTTTACATAGATTTTGTTTTAAACAGATTTTTTCAGCATAAATTTCATTTTGAACAGACTCTTTTTTACATAGGTTCCATTCTGAGCAGAATTTTAACTTCTTGATAAACGTTTCTTGGGAGAGCAATCGGATGAATAATTTTTAACGCTACCTTAACAAAACAAATTTTTAACATTCACTTACATTTACCACATTCTGCTAAAATTTGTACACGACAGATGATTTATGAAAATAAATATTATTTCCAAATTCAGCTCTAATTGAATAGATTAATTTAACTTTAAGAGGTGGGCTCAGTGATGACGAGCAAGTTGGAATACATCGGCTGCTTTGCACTTGTGGTGCACAGCTTGGTTAAACCAGTTTACAGCAGAGTGTTGTGTGAGAGATTCTGTGTTGATATACCAAGTACCTACCTTATTGGACTCAGTGTTAGTTTTCCTTTTTTTATAACAAGTTTAATTTTGAGCAGGTTTTTAAAAAATGCCTAGCCTTTCGCTCAAAAGTACGCAAGGCAGCGTGGATGCAGTTTTATGTCATACCCAGGACATTCTTGAAATATTCATTAGAAATGTAATACAAATAGACCAAACAATACGCATACGCATACTACGCGTGTATAGACCAGCACGAGCAGGTCCATAAAAAATATATACATCGGTATATGTTAATGTTTATCATTATTGTTGCTGTTATAATTGTTAGTAGTTGTAATATTGATAGTAAAAGTAGTAGGAGCAAAATGGCAAATCATCCGATCTACGATGAGGACTTGACACCGCAAATTTTTTCATTTAATTTACTCACGACACACTCCAGTGACGTCATGTTATGTGTCATGTTAATTACTTCATTTTGTTTTTTATCCAAGTTAATGAAACTCTGCAATTAATACAACATTTAATATTTCTAAGACGTTGCAAGGCGCGCCGGGTTAGCTAGTGCATTATTTATACTATGTATATTTGCATACGTCCTACCTCGGGAAACCGGGTCTCTGGACGCAAAACGAAGATTGATTGATTGATATTTGCAATCAACTGGAATTTAGCTTTTTATCACAATGAAGAAACAAACAAAGTAACATCATAGACAAAAATTCAATAAACAACCAATAGTAATGTAAACAATAATAATATAAATTAAATATGGAAGAAACCTGATTGACTGCTCGGCAGAGGAATATTTCTGATGGACAACAACTTGATGATCGATTGAAATCTGCACCTCATTGGCAGCATCTCGTTTGTGACAGGGAGCATCAAGAGATCTTTGTAAATCAAACCTGATTTACTCAGCTTTGGATGTAGAACATATTTCAAAGAGTAGCGTGCTTCAGATTTGAACTTGGCTAATGTGGACAACCGCTAATGTGGACCACCGCTTATAACTGGTGGTTGTCGTCAGGATGGGTGTCCGGATGTAAAAACTTTTCCCCAAATTATTCCTATGCCATCACAAAGAAAAACAACGGCCCCTAGTCCCCAGCAGGCCTTAAGTGGTCAAGGGGTGCCAAGAATCCCTGGGAAGTATGCAATAGCGGAGGGATGTTGCAGAAAAATTCAGAATGGCCCCTCTATGGTACTTAGACTTGGAACGCTCAATGTTGGATCACTGACTGGCTGCAGCATGGAAATCGCAGAAATGCTCGAGTGTAGAAGGATTGACATCTGCTGCTTTCAGGAAATCCGATGGAAATCGAATGGTGTCTGTCATGTTAACTCAGACAAAGAAAAATATAAACTATTCTGGAATGGTCAAAAAACGGCTAAAAATGGTGTTGGAATTTTTGTCAGAGAACCGCTAGCCCAAGAAGTACTGGATATTAAAAGGATTAATTCACGTCTCATGTGGATCAAGCTTCGCATAGAAAAGCAAACAATGATTATTTTTTCTGCAAACGCACCACAGACAGGCGAATCAGAAGAGATGAAAAATGACTTCTGGACTGCATTCTCTGACACCATCTCAACAATACCAAAATCTGAAACAATCCTGATTGGAGGCGATCTCAATGGCCACGTTGGAGAGAAAACAGATGGTTTTGACAACGTACATGGCGGTTTTGGCTATGGAAAACGGAATGAAGATGGCAACCGCATTCTTGAGTTTGCTGAAAGTCACGGGTTTTGTTTACTGAACACATATTTTAGAAAGAGGTTGGAACATCTCATAACATACAAAAGTGGGCCATCAGCCACGCAAATTGATTTCTTTGCTGTCAAGCAACCACACCGAAGGCTGTTTAAAAACGTCAAAGTTATACCTGGCGAATCATGTGTCGCCCAACATAGACTCCTTGTGGCAGACCTGGTTGTCGAACTGTCAAAACATAAGTCTAAACAAATGCCTCGAAGAATCAAAACGTGGAAGCTGAAAAGCAATATTCATCGAGAAAAATTTCAACAGATTGTCGCCACACAGTTAGACCACCAATCGCAAGCCAGTACAGATTGGAGTACATACAAAACCGTTTTAATGAACGCTGCAACTACAGTTTGTGGGAAAACTGGTACAAAACGTCAGCATGAACGTGACACTTGGTGGTGGAATGAATGACAGTGTACAAAATGCAATAGCTGAAAAGAAAGTTGCATACAAGCAATGGCAAAAATCAAAGTCTGTAGATGACCATAAAATTTTCCGTGAGAAGAACAACTATGCAAAACGTCAAGTTGCACTGGCTCGGACAGATCAGTGCAGAGAGTGGCTCACTAAAAGCAAAGGTGAACAAATGAAATCTCTGTATTGTATAGCAAAACAAGCAAAGCGTAAGAAAAAAGACATAGTTGGTGCCTCATGTATCAAAAACGACAAAAATGAAATGATTCTTGAACAAGGTGAGATCAAGCTACAGTGGTGAGAATACTTCAATCGTCTGTTAAACGAAACAAATCCCATCAATGTTAACTTTGACGCTTCACCCATCGAAGGTCCGATTCCAGACATCACTGTAGAGGAGCTTACAGAAGCTCTGAAAGCTATGAAAGATGGAAAGGCAGCAGGGCCCTCGGGACTCACAAATGACATTATCAAAGCATCTGGTACTGCAGGTATCCAAACGTTACTACAACTTTGCCGTGAAATCTGGAGAAATTTCTCAATGCCGACTGAATGGAACTATAGCATGACAGTCCCGCTATACAAAGGCAAAGGTGATCCATTGAACTGTTCATCATATCGGGGTATACGTCTGTTAGAACACTCCCTGAAAATTGTCGAAAAAATCATTGAGAGAAGATTAACGTCGTGCATCACAATCGGAAATTATCAATTTGGTTTTCTAGCGGGGAAATCAACAATTGATGCAATTCACATCCTTCGGCAACTGCAAGAGAAGTACCTCGCAAAGCATCAACAACTATCACACATTTTTGTAGACCTTGAAAAAACATTTGATCGAGTTCCATGTGAAGCAATCAGATGGAGTCTACGTCGACAATTCATTCCAGAATATCTTGTTCGACTTGTGATGGAAATGTATACGAATACTAAGACTTTTGTCAGCACAACGGTTGGAAACACAGATGCATTTGACATCGGCGTTGGAGTTCACCAAGGCTCGATTCTCACTCCACTGTTATTATAACTGTGATGGAAGAAATCACAAAACCGATACGCACTGGTGACATTTGGAATCTAGTATATGCTGATAATATCGTTTTAACAGCCACGTCTGAGCAGAATGCAGCACAGATGTTTGAAGATTGGAACACCAGACTCGCCGATCATGGATTCAAAGTCAACATCAGCAAAACCAAAGCAATGAACACTGGTGAACCCATCCAATGTATAGCTACTGGACGATGGCCCTGTTCAGTTTGTAAAGCTGGTGTAGGTAACAATTCAATCAAGTGTCAGCAGTGTAACCAGTGAAGTCACAAACGTTGTTCAAAAATAATTGGTACTTTATCTAAAGGGTCCAATTTTGTTAGTCCTGCTTGCATCAATCTACAACAACAAATTCGAAATAGCAATGTTTTTGAAGTCATTAAAATAGAGAAAGTCACATCGTTTCAATATCTAGGGGATGTTCTGGATTGTACTGGAACAGCTGAAGCTGCCGTTCGAGCACGCATACGTGCAGCCTGGAATAAATGGCATCTCCTTGCCTCTATATTGATGCGGCGTGACATCCCACTACCACTACGATCAAGACTTTATAAATCTGTGATACGTCCGGTGTTGTTATATGGTACAGAAACATGGCCAATGACAACCAAACTGGAACAACAACTTCAACGAACCGACATGAAAATGCTTCGATGGATGCAACGAATTAGTCTAAAGGACCACATCAAATCTACCGAAATCCTGCGTCGTGCTGGTTTAGATGATATAAAGGACGAATGCCGGCAAAACCGTCTGCGGTGGTTTGGTCATGTTAAACGAAGTGGAAACAGTGCCATAACTTCTCTTGCAGATGTTGAAGTACCTGGCACACGTCCCAAAGGCCGTCCAAAGAAGTCCTGGTCGCAAACAATCGAGCAAGACATGAAATTTCTAAATTTAAATGAAATGGATACAACTGATCGTCTAATTTGGCGCAAAAAGTTGATGGCAAAGAAAACAACGTCCTACCTCGGGAAACCAGGTCTCTGGACGCAAAACGAAGATTGATTGATTTTAAAAAATGCAAATCAAACACATCTTACAAAGTTTGTTTTCTGTTTGGATAGATCTATATATCTGATTGGTTTCTGTCCAGTGTTTATGATTAAACCGTTAGTAGAATTCAGGTCAGTTTCGACTACTAGTGAAGTTTGATTCGATTCGATCATGAGCTGAGTTTGGGTTTGGTTCGACTTTATGAAATTACGCAATAAGAGAAGAAAGCACAATTTAGATCGGACTCGGTATCAGGAACTTGAAAGTTTAGTACCGGTATATCGGTATCGGAAATGTGAAAAATCCGATGCAGGTATCGGGAAATCTACAATGTCAACAGGAATTGCTGAAGCATAAGAAATTCTAGATACCGATGCAACGGTTTTAACCGATGCAACGGAAACTCGTAAGATATCGGATTTTTATCGGTAAATCTTCTTTTACAATTTTTATGTCGGCTTTGCTTATATCAGCATTTTCTAGTTTATACGGTTAATAGTAGGCAGTTTTGGTGAGGATTCACGAATTTCAAAATGTACAACATCGCAAATTCGGTTTCGGTAGCATAAAAACATTTTGTTCGGTTTGGTTCGTGTCCAGCAATACCAAAGTTCGGGTTTGGTCCGGTTCAAAATTCTGGTTCGGTTTGGTTAGGTTTTAAGTTTGGTATCAAGTTCATTTCGTTTGGTTTTTTTTACATAATTTCATTAAGAGTAGACATTCATTTCGTATCAAAAAAATATAAAGCTGGAAATTGGATAGTACGGAGAAAAAATTCAAAGGAACATTTTTTTCTTGCGAATGCCGATTATTTAAAAAAAACATTTTAACATTTAACAACAATAAGCTTGAAAAATTTTTTTAAGAAAATCTAATAATTTATATTTGATATCCAAAAACTCAGACATAAATCCCGATATTTATGATCAAAACAAGGCAGGATTTATCCGGACGTGTGTTAACCCTGGTATTATCAACGAGAGCCTTTTAATGAATATAACACTTTAAATTTTTTGACATTTTAAATACAGAATAGGTTAATTATTTTATTAATTTGAAGTTTTTAAATTTTCTACCGGCAGGAGGGTAGAATGTGTTTTTGCGTTGAAAAAGCTTCCTACCCAGTATCAAGTATACTTTGTAACATGACATGCGAAAACATGGATGTATTATGTGGCGGCCTTACATATTATTCCATTTATCAGAGTCTGTTTTTATTGAAACATTGAATGTTAACTTAACTATAACGGAAATTTTTTTATTTATCAGCAAAACCTGCCATGTTGATAACACATGCACTGATCGATGCTGGCTCTGTAGTTCCTGATGATGCGAAAGTTTTCAATAATTTATTTTCATTAACCATAGAATTATGCATGAAGATCTGTGCTGAAAACTCATTACCATTGGCTTATCTCACAGTTACTATATTTCATATCAAATGATTTTGTTTTCTATCACTATTTGCAAAAAATTTACACGTACGATATTTTCAACTTGATATGCACCGAATAATGAATTTGGCGGCCAAAAACCGAATAAAAGTTCAAGTTTTTTGAATGAATAAATAAATATATAAATAACCAGTCAAATCCGAGGAGATGGTTTACGTTTAGCGTGATGGCGGCACGTTTTCTCGGTGGTTTTTTAATTTGGGTGGATTCTTGTTTTCTGCTTCTGAACAAGTGAGTTCTCTTCTTTTTTACTATGACTATTTTTTTCTATATCTTTCAACATCTTTTCCTTAACTTGAAAATATTATTATGTCTTATTCTAGAGACTTTCTCTTAAGCCTTTCTAACACTCCTTTGTCTCCGACGAGAGTAGTTCGGCGGCGAATTTTTTACTTTAATCTTAGGTCTAATAATAACAATAAAAATAATAAATCTAACTCTAACAAAAAAATAAATATAGTTAGTAACCATAATTATATTAATAATAATAATGTTATTTGCAAGTATAATAAGAATAATAATAATTTTATTAAATCCTACTCTAATCCTAATGTAATTAATGCTAATGATAAGAATAATAATTCTAATTCTATTAGTTTAAATAATATAACTAGATTTAAAAATACCAATATTCAACCTACCTCTACATTTTCACTGTTTAATATTAACATAAGATCAATTAATAAAAAATCGCTCTATATCCATCAAATAATCTCTTCCTCCTTACCTGATTTTTTTACTCTTACTGAAACTTGGCACGAGGACTCTAACTCTCCCTCTCTTATTCTTGCTACTCCTGATGGTTACAGCTTCCTTGAACTCTCTAGACCTCCAAAAAATCTTCTATCATCTTCTCATTCTTCTTATGGAGGTATCTGTCTGTTTTATAAATCTCTATTTACTGCTTCCATTAATACTTCCTTTCACTTTTCTTCTTTTGAATGTCTTGCTGTATCTCTTAAG